CCTCTCGACTTCAACAGGGCATAAAAAAATGAGGGTTTAACCAAATCCAACAATTTTTTCAAAGAAATTCTCACCAAAGCAGGAAGATTTTTTTAAGTGAAAAAACATGTAGGGGTCAGATGCACTTTAATACACCAACTACACTTACTACACTTACTACACTTACTTCACTTAATTACTACACTTACTACAATTACTACGCTTACAACACCTACCACACTTACTACACTTAGTACATTTTTGACGCTACGCCTACTACACTTACTAATTGAATCAGGTTGCATTACATGTAAGCTTATATGAAGTAAACCCCTGGAGTGATTTGCTGCATTTGTGATTGCCCTCCACGACATATGTACCAGTCAAACCCTATGTTCCAGCAATCAGGAATTCAGCTGGATTGTAATGCCTGACTGGCCTGATCAGTACTTAGAAATTACCTGTGGTTTCTACTTGGACTTATATCAAGGAGGGGTGCCCTCCCCGCTCTTGAAAGTCATAAAACAGAGAGAGAAAAACATCTATTGGAAAAATAGAAAATCAAGGAGATAACAAGAAATAAGTTACCAGGGCAGTTTGCCTGATGCACTGGTAATTTTATTCAGGAAGAAGATATTATTGCTCAAACTGGCTCCAAATGCATCATTATCCCAGCTGTGCATTGTGAAGGGGAGGAACACAGATATCAATATTTGAGAGGCTGCTAAGTGGAAAGCAATAGATTTAACCTGGGGTATTTGTCGTCATTGGTGTTTGAGAAAGTCCTTTAGGCATAGGTGGTAGTTCTCATGCAGGCCTTTTTAATCTCATTTCATAGCTATTCTCAGGGATAAAGGCTGATAGTTTCTAAAGAAACTGTTAGGGGCTGCGTCAGTGGGAGTAACAATATAATTTGGATATATCAACAAAGTTGAAATGGTAAATTGGCCACCCTAACGATTATGAAAGCTGACATTTCGAGCGTTAGCCCTTCGCCGGAGCGAATAGAGGAATTGTGGGTTGTGTGTGCTTTTAAGGCAGAAAATGGAGCTACGTTATTGGTGGGAAGAAATAAGTTATATTCTCTGGGATGTTAAGCAAAGCTCCCTTCAAGTATTGCTTGGCATCCAAAAGAATGGATGCAACAAAGTTTAGGTTGCTTTGCATTGAGTTACTAATAAAAACATGTGCAACTCTAAAATAAAACTCAATAAACTCTTCAAACACTGTAAAATTACACATCAATACTTTAATCAGTCAATAAACCTTAAGAGGTGACAAGAACTCAAATACAAAGACTTTGGGAAAGACATTGTTCCTTATCTAACAAAATTATCCAGCAAAATGACAAAACTATTACAATTCTTCTTTGCCTGTGTTCTGCTTACTGTGCTGGAAGGAAGTTAAAATATCTAAACGCTTTTTAAATTGGTCTTTCTTCTTATCTGTGATTTTGTCTTTCAAAAGTTTTTGAACACGGGTGACCTCATTGTCCACGTAGTCAACTCCTTTCTCCTGAATCTTCTTCATAATTTTCACATAGATGTCCCCATTTGACTTTTCCTTCTCATCTGTGCTTTCTTCCAAGAATTTTTCTGCTTTCTGAATGATATCAGCATGAGCCGAACTATCACTACTCAAAAGTTCCTCAGCAAGCCTGTCAAACTTCTCAATGCAATTTGGCATTCCTAAAGTAAAAGCAGAGACTATACATCAAAAACAAATTTCATTCATATTTCATTTACTTACTAAACAGACTTCACAAACTTTATACTTTTAATGTATTACTAATGCAAGCATCTTCTTATAACTTTATACAGCAACTGCCCCCTCCCTCTCCTCTCTTTACAGAGAAACTGTTGATATAACCACTGTGTACATCAGTGCACTAATCTCTAACCTGTGTAGCTTAGTGGTTTTACGGGCACTTAAAAGCAATGAGCATCAGAGCCTTAAAAATAAACATAGCCTAAAACTGAACAAAACCACCAGCTCCACAAGCTAATGTAAAGTGAGGATATTTTCAGCTTAAAATTAATTTAATTAACCCTTACACCCTGACATCAGTATGCATATTCTCCATACTGTTCTCTATACATTTTCTGAGGTGCTGACAAGGAGAATTGTTTAACGATCAAGAGCCTCTTAGGGTGGTGATCATTACCAACTTTGATTCCTGTTTACAAGGTTTTCTGAGTTCCATGGTAAAAAAAAAAAACTGCTCTTCTGGTTTGTCACCAAAATAGTCTACTTACCTATCCACAGCCGAGAGTTGCTTTTCACAAACTTAGCAAGTTCATCAGCATTAATTTCGCCTTTGAAATCAACTGGGGTGGCATCATTTTGTTTGAACAGCTTGTACACCGGAAAATCCTCTTTGTTAATATTGAAACGCTCTCTTAAGTCATCATTCTCTTTTTCACCATATTCTGTAAAAAGAAAATCATTGGAAAGTCAAGCCCTCACCAAAATCTGCCACTAAAATATTTCCTCACCATACATACACTTATTGATCACAAAATAACTTGTGAATTTAAAATAAAATTTTAAAATTTCCTTATTGGGGCAGATAAGCTTGGATATAAATTGTTAGGTTTAAGTCTTGTGTGACTATTGGTTCATTGTCCCTTTTTTTCAGGCTCCATATCCAAATATCAATTCTCCACGCTATCTTCAATAATATAAATCTTATTGAGAATAATTTGGTGTTAAATCAAGCAGTACTCCATTGTTGATATTTTTAATCCTTCTCATCAACTTTCTGTTTGAAAACATATGAATATTGTTAGGAAAAATGCATCCTTGATATTTTTCTCACCTGACACTCCAACCTCCGCTACCAACAGGTCAGGCTGAGAGGAAGCTTTCTCAGCAAACTTCTTAAACTCGTCTTCTTTTTCTCCATATGCATACTGTTTGTCAAATTTAACCAGCACTGCTTTATGCTTTCTAATGACCTGCCTCAGAGTAAAGTTGATGAAAAAATGTCACACAACTGAAACGTATATTTGGAAGAGAGACGCTCACAATTTCATGGCCTGCAAGCACAGCTGTAATAAAAATAAAGCTTACGGAATACTGATAAATAAAAACCAAACGAAGCTTTAAAAACAAAAAAAGAAAAAAAGAAATTAAAAAATTAGAGATAGCGCATAAAGCTCTCAAGTTAGCCAATGAAATGACACCACGCTGTTTTAATTAATTAATTAACGAAGAGGATATACATGTGCAAGGTGCAGTAAAAAAAATATCCATATCGATCAGTCATTTTAAATAGAAGCGTCGTGAAGACAAAATATCCGGGACTTGTATTTCTTTAGTCTTTTGGCTAAAATTTAGGCTTAAGCCTCTAAATTCATGAGCTTTGTTCCAGCTTGAAAATTGGGCAATTTTGCACAAAGGACAAAGACTCAACACACTGTATGATTTAAAAATACCTTATCGAAAGTTAGCGTATCCAAGGGCACAGCTCCTTTAGCTGTGCCTTCCACGTTTAGCACACCCAAACTCGTTAATGCAATCGCAGTGATCAAACCAGTAAAAACCATTGTAGCGAGCTCCTTCCACCTTACAATAGCTTCCAAAAACAGGTTACTTTCTTTAGCTCCTTTCAGAGAACCTTTCGCTTTCTTCCTTGAGCCTTCAAACTCTTTGGTCACTGGATTAACTAATACCCTGGAAAGTACTTTATGGTGTCACTACCTATCGCTTCCTTGCAAGGATTTCTGGGAACACAGTCCCAATCGCATCACGTGCTTAATCTCATAGCTTTTCTCTGCAGCTGTCCCACTCTCGAGCGTGCGATAGCGTGAAATTCCATTTTCTTAAGGAAGGCCTGTTTTAAGTCGGGTATTGGAGAGATTATTTTCCCCAAGGTAAGATCAAAACATCACAACTTAGTACACGGAACGAAATTCGTCCGTTCCGTTTCAAATTAACGCACATTCTACGTTGGCTGTTAAGTGACACGCTCGTTTCTTCGTTAATTAACGATCTAGGAGTAATCTTAAAGTGAAATATTGAGTTCGAAAAGCTTGTACGCTTTCTACTAAGTGTAGAAATATCAGTTGTCTAGTCAGTGGATGTCCAAAGGAGTTTCAGAATGGAGCTGATTCCTGAATATTCAAGTTAGATACCTTGAATCTCGAGATGACAATATTTGGACGCATGATTTACAATGTCATACTTAATCAACCGCTGTACTTGCATCTATGAGAAGTTAATATTCGATGAACAGTTTATTTCTAGAAAGGAAAAATAGAGACAGGTTGGCTTATATATGGATTTTGAAGTGTGATCCTCCAAATATATATATATATATATATATATATATTTTTTTTTTGTGAAGTAAAAAAAATATATTCTGGCTACTAATTTTGTTGGTCGCTAAATGGTGACTTTGAAAAGGGTTGAGCTTGGCGCTCTAAAGGAAAGAGCAAATTAGTAGAGTTCAGTTTAAATTCGTTTTGTCATTAATTGCATAAAAACTACAGCAAGTATGTTGTTATTTTTCAGATGTCTGGGAAGGGTGGTGCACCAACATATAAAGTTTATGTCGGTAACCTAGGGTCTAATGGTTCTAAAGCAGAGCTTGAAAGAGAGTTCGACAGGTTTGGAAGACTCCATGATGTGTGGGTAGCTCGGAATCCACCTGGATTTGCCTTTGTAGAATTTGAAGACCTGCGTGATGCTGAAGATGCTGTGAAGTCATTGAATAATGCTCGGATTTGTGGAGAAAGAGTGCGTGTAGAAATGGCTCGCAACCGTGGCAGAGGTGGTGGGGGAGGGGGAGGGGGTCGATCATTTCGCTCAGATTACCGTGATGACCGTGGTGGGGGTCGCCGTTTTGATGATAGAGCTGATCGTTTTGATGACAGGTCCAGGTCACCATATAGGTATGTTTTGTTTTGTTAAGATCTGCTTTTGAAAGTATTCCACTCACTGGATGGTGTGTGATTACAAGTTTGTAGTTAATGTAAAAATTAAACTTAACCTCAAATTCTTGTTTAAGTCAGTGAAAGTTATTTCCCTTTATTGGAAGCTTCCCTCAATTCTTAGAGGTAGTAATTTGAGTTTGCCTGTATCTTTCATTGAATATCAAACATTGCAAGAAAATGGGGTAAGCCTGTTGCTTGTACCTATGCTTAAGATAAAGTAAGAAATTATGGGTAAATTTTTAGCGCATAAACTATTTTTGTCCTTATATTTACTATGCTTTATTTTTTATCAGTCTTATTTGTTATGATATCATTCCTTTGGCTTGTTAGCTGGAAAGCTGGTTTAATGAACTGTTGGCTTGTCTGAGACAAATCATATGGAATGTTACAATATAACTGGAAGTTTGAACATGGCAATGTAAAATATCAGATATGTTTGTTAACTTCTGTGGATTTTGAGAAATTCAGATTAATGTGGTTATGGACAGTGACATTTTCTAAAATGTTGTTGTAGTTATGTGAAGAGGGCATTTCAATCGATTGTCTCCAAAACAATACTCAAGGAATAAACGCATCTACTTGGTACTTTGGAAAATATGAAACAACCTGAAAAGGGCTCAGAGTTATAACTGGGAAACTGCTAGATACACAGGAAAACATGTGTGATTGGGTGGAGAATTGATTTAATTTTGCATCCTATTGGTAAAGATGGAACACATTTTGTAGACCAACCATACATCAAAGCAAACTTGTTCAAGACAATTATGTCACATTTGACAATCGATTGAAAATCCCTTTAGATCAATGTGGTAATTCTCTATTGCTGATGTTCATGTCATGTCTGGGTTATTCTTTAGGTACTACTTAGCTACATTCCCAATGATAACCTCGCCCAACTAGACCACTTTCATATGGTTCCGAGCCCAGCTTCCTTCGAAAAGGACTGTCCCCAGCAGCCCCTTCTCCCAAGCCATCGACCAACCTCTCTTCAACTTCCCACCCACCTCTTTTTCACTACAACTTCCCTCCGTTTTCCATCAGTTAATGGTCATTGTATTCCTTTCATGCATCCTTCAAACTCTTGGCCAGACCTGTGAAAGGTGTTCCTCTATCCTTTTTAAAATTCTCGAGCAATAATTTGGTCATCGTGGCATTTCAAGATTCAAGGAATACACATGCTGACATATTTAGGTGTAACTTCAGAAAACTACAGTTCTCCTGGGGCATGCTTTAGCGACACATTCTAAGGTCAAGGTATCTGCAGCCTTCAGAGGGAGACAAGTGTAGTCAACTGGCTAAAACATGAATCATCACAGCGGAGAAACAACTGTCACTAAGTCTTCCTAATGTCGGACAATTTGCTGTGTTGTGTCATTCGCAATCACCGGTGGCAACTGTCAGCTGTCAGTGACAACACCCAAAGACTCCAGAAAAACTAGCGTGACTCAAAACCTCTCTCCTGCGTGACATACACCTGTAAATCATGCCAGCCAATTTCTCCCTAACACAGCTTCGTGAAGTTGCCATTTCAAACTTCATCTTGAAGCCATAGGTAGTGTCATTGTTGTAGCTTGTGTGCACTGTGGAGTAAAGAGGGTGTTATTTATCATTGTGTGGGATTAAAGAAGGCTACAACTTCAGCCTAAGGCAAGGGATGTGCGCTGTAAGGGGATAGAACATATTATTACTTGTGTAAATAGATGTGTCTACCTGCTCATTCTCAGTTATAATAGGAAACTAAAATTTTCCTTGATATTTCAATACACTTTTAAACAAACGGTTGACGAGAATTCAGAGAATAGAACAACAAAGACATGTATTGTCATTGAAGGAGGAGAGTTAATTATAGTGAAAGTGAATCATTCTGAAAGTGAATCATTCTGAAGATGGGTACTTTGTGTCTGTGTACATGCACAGGTGTAGTTTTAGACTTAAATAGAGATTTTGTCACCCAGATTTTGAAATGTTGCCTCATGCAGTAGCCAAGGATAAAATTTGTTAGCATTAATTTAATTCAGCAATATCAATTTGCTTAGTGAAGTGGTAATGCTAACATTTAACTGGTTGAAATAATTTTGAAACATTTACGCTATTTTTAGGATCACCGGCTGTCAGAATTGATGCAAGTCAACCCTGGAAACAATTATCACACCCTTCATTGAAGTTCTTTTGTTTTGTTTTTTGTACGACAGGTCACCGCCACGACGAGTGAGAGGAGGAAGGTCTCCTGAAGGCGACAGGCATGTCCTCAACTCAACTGTATTTATTTTTTTAGAAGCATAATTTTTTTTTATCATATATACTTAAGGCAGAACCTTGTAGGTTCATGCTACAGAAATCAAGGATTAGCTCTGGCAGATATGGTCCACCAGACCACAATGACTGAATCTAAGTTTTAGGATTACAACATACATTCCAAGCACTGTTTACCTTTCCAGATTGGTAGTTTATCTGATTTCATATAGACTACAGGCTGTCATTTCTGGGTTTTCAAGGAAGGTTAGGAAATAGCTTTGAAGGACAGTGAATTTTACAAATGGTTGTTTTGTGTAGAAGGCAGATTTAAATAGCTAACAACTATCAACTTTGTCAGAGCACGCATGCCTAACTAACCCTACAATTGGGTGAGACAATTCTAAAACTATCATTGACAAATGCTGCATATCAACTCCTCCCATGCTCCTTTAAATCATGATGATGGTGGCTTACCACCCGACACCTATTTACACCTTGTCAGAAAAAACGGCAGCTAATTAGTGAGCATCTAAAGGGCCTCTTGTTGCAACAATCGGATCACCTCTGAAGAAGGCACTAGACAGGAGTGTCAAAACGTTGGGTTTATGAATTGTAATTTCCCCAGTTACATTCATTAAATCTTTTAACCAGAGTAGCATTGAACCATGTCTGATTGTCCACGTGGTTGCTGTGTGAACTTTAATATATCTTCTGTACTTCTTCTGCAATTTTATGCTAAAGTTAAAACTTTTTTCGTCAACAGATGGGGAGGAAGGGGAAGGAGCAGGTCTCGTAGTCCTCGACGGTACTAGTCGTTTTAACCATTGCAAGGTAAATGTTGCAATAAACCTGGCATTATCAATGATACCCAATCAGATAAAGACCTGAAACTGCAGAGATGGCACTTCATTAGCCAGTTACAGCATAATTTCTCTTTTTAAGATACATGTGGGAATCTATCCAATGACCCCCTTGCACAGGGCATTGCATGAAAGCTTCTTGTTTGTCACCATATTACTGTTGTTGTTGTTTTTTTAATCTATATGTTGATTTATCTTAGTGGTTGTCTAGTACTGGTACTCATTCAGATCTTTTGGGTTTTGTTTATATAGGAGCCTTTGTACCTAATCATTGCTGGCCACTTTTGTGAAAACCAGCTACCTTAACATCATGGAACATATTTTTAACATCTATGACTATAAATTAAGAATTTTTTTTTTTTCACTTAGTTTGCTGTAAAGGACTGCTTTTATGCATTACAAAAATTGTTCTTCATTTTTGGTGATGACTCTCTTATTTTAGCACAGATGTTTAAGTATATGCTGTAGTTTACTGAAAGTGTATACACTCAATTGCAAAAACAATGACACCAAGAAAAGCATTAACAATGAACAAAGAGACCCTAAAGCCTTTATGGTCAGATGCACATGATAACCACCATTTAGATACTTTAGACTTACTATGAAATTCTGATTGGTCAAGAGCTTACAGTCAATATTCAATAACATGTGCAGTTGAGTTAATGTCAAGTTCAAAGTCTGCCTAGTTTCCAAGCCCCTTGCTTGTTTAGTGTTCTCAAACTTTTGCAAACTCAGAGAGAAGTGCCTTCTTTGCAGATTGTTTAAAAACACATGGTAAAACAATTATTAAATTTTGTTTTCGCTGAATATCGTAAATCATCAAACCTCGTATCTGTGTTACCATTCTCAGCCTTTGGCTTTTGTAGATATCACAGCCTTTGGCATTGTAAATTCAGGATTTCAAGCTCAACCTCATCCAATAATTGCTTAGTAGTTGCATGTGATGTATGATGGAAGCTCCAAGCTTTTCTGAAAGACAAGGTTTATCATAAAGAATAGATTTTACATGAATGGCGAGAGAAGTAAATCACTGATTATGTATCTGTGCCTACATTTCCCATGAAGCTGTTGGGTCTTATTGTTCATAAATCATGCTTTTTTCATATTTGCATGTTTGTTAATAAGGAAACTTACTGAATCAAAATTACCACACAGTGAAACTTTTAATTTGCCACCTTTTAAACCTTTTGTTTTGTATTCATATTTATTTGTACCTTCTTACTCTGTTAATAAAGGAGTGAATTTAATTCCAGCAAGTTAGTTGTTTGATGATGATCTTTAACACAATGTTCTTGGGGAAACATTACCAGTCCTGTAAATTATACACTTTGCTGGTGTTGATTAAGGTATCCTTGAAGCAAATGCAGCACCTGGTTTCAAAGACATCCCGGTTCAAGGTCTCAGTGAACATGGAATAAGTTCTCTGTGGCTTAACTATAAGACTCTTTAGAGGGACTCACATTAACTTTGGTGACAATAAATATATGAAGTTCATATATTTTGAACTGCGGTATTTGATACGTATGATGCACGATCCTCGCAGTAGATAGCGCTATTTAAGCAATAGCGAAAATCAGACCTGAAAAAAATCAGGCCTGCACGGGTATGGTATGTATATATCAGGCCTGTATGGCTTGTTAGCTCAATTGGTAGAGCGCTGCACTAGTATCGCAGAGGTCAGTGGTTCGAATCCCGTACAGGCCTGATTTTTTTTCAGGTCTTATTTTCGCTATTGCATTAGTAGCGCTCTCTACTGCGAGGATCGTGCATCTTACGTTACATTAACTTTCTCCATACAAAATCACTCCTTAGCACACATGAGAATTAAGGAAATGATCACCAACCTAGAAAGATCTTAAGTTAACGTTTTAAACAAATTCTCCTTGTCAGCCCCTCAGGAAATGTTTAGAGAACAGTATGGAGAATATGTATGCTGATGTTAGAGGATAAAGCGTTAAATATAGTTTTGCCCTCCTCACCACTCTTCCCTCCTCCATCCCTCGCCGCAGCCGACTATCAAAAGCTCGTCCCCAGTTTTTCTCGGGTTTATTATGACCAAAATGGCGGAGTGTTGTAGTTATCCGAAGTACACAAGGCTTTAAATTAAAAGAGGGTTGTATGTAATTCTAAGAAATGGAAAATTACCACGTGTTAGAGCTTATTGGAGAGGGTTCTTTTGGAAAAGTTTACAAAGGGCGCAAGAAATACAGTGGTCAGGTAAGGGTTGTGAAAGAAAGAAGAGCTGAATGTTTAGAATAATTTGACGGCGGGAAAACTGTCAAAATTATTACATTTTGCACGGGAATTGGGTTTTCTTCATGAATTTCCTCACAGCTGATATAATAATAATAATAATAATAATAATAATAATACTAATAATAATAATAATAAAAGTCTTTCTTAAGCACTCTAAACAACAATCGTGTTTAGTTACAATCATATGAACTCAGCAAGTATAAAACTAATGAACTAACTAAATTACTAACTGACTAACTAATAAGAGAACAAACATCTATGAACAAAAGTCCTCTTGGAACGTTCAGTTCTGACAAGCGGGAGAATATAATTATGGCGCCTCTTACGTAGCGTAACCATTGGTCGCTCTGATGGCAAAAGGTCATCTAAAGCTGTTGTCCTTTTGCCAGGATATACTGATATTTGCCAGGATCATACTGATATACTGCATCACTACAAACAGTGATTAAAATCTAAATGCATGTTCAGCTGAAGATACATAGCAGAAGAAACTAGGGAATATCACAGCTAAATCAAAAATGCTTTACTATCTGCAAAGTACCTGTCTGTAGTTCTCTCTCTAAGAATATACTGGGAAGGAAAAGGTGCAATTGCACTTGCTGGAAACATTTTTGCAGTTGTTTGGTTGTTGTAATGGATTGGAATACCATGGAACACAACAAGAATGCTGGAGATGTAATTTGCATTGACCTATTGGTTAAAATCTAGTAACTTGGAGTCCGCTGCTTTTCATAAATCTACAATTTAAAAACTTTGTGCATGCATTCAATTGTTTTTAATAAGTTCTATGAATTTAACTTTCAGGTTGTGGCTTTGAAATTCATTCCAAAAGTTGGCAGGTCAGAAAAAGAGCTGAAAAATTTACAGAGAGAAATTGACATTATGAGGAACTTAGAACATGAAAACATCATCAAATTACTGGATTCCTTTGAAACACCCAAAGAGGTACATTCAAGGAGAAATACCTAGAGCTACTAGTGAAAAGTATCTTAATTTTTAACAAACAAATTCCATGTTGGCATGCATCTCAGTTCAGGACTATATCTTATTTCTTACATACTGAGATTTCATGTCACTGATTGGATAAACAATGTATTTTCACAGTCCTTTGCTTCCAATCTTTGAAATGTGTTGGTCAGTAGCAAAAATAGTATTAAATAAAAGCATTATACCATGGAAAGTGCTAAGACAAGTTTAATTTACTTGTTGCGATGGATAAAAAAACCCACTTGTTTGCTGCGCCCAGTCGCTAATTTTTTTGATACATCGCAACTTGTGGATGAAAATCATTTGTGTGCTTTTTCCTTGGAATAATCCCTATGAAAATCATAGATAAGGTTAAGATGTAGTAAGAACAAAAAAGTTGCACACAAGGCGGATTTTGACATCTTCTGTGATCTATTATAAACTGTACAGACCCATTTATTTGCTTTCTATGATAAGAAAGCAAAAGGCTGTAAATGGTGACATCATCTATGCATCTGTCCTTCATAGATCACCGGTAAGAACCAATCAAAATGTGTGTAAGAATTCAGCTTATTAAATCACAAAAATTTTCTTCTTGTCACATTTTAAGATTCCAAAGAGCAACCTAACCTTTCAAAAGCTGTCCTTAGATTTTAATTTGGAGTGTTACCATAGCAAGGTAACCAAAATGTAAACTGCATGATGTCCCACAGTTTGCCTGGTAACTCGAATGTGGGGAAGAAAATTACATTTTAGGGATAGTTGTAGCACTGGTTGATGTCCAAAAATGGTTGATGTCCAAAATGTAAACTGCATGATGTCCCACAGTTTGCCAGGTAACTTGAACGTGGGGAAGAAAATTACATTTTATGGATAGTTGTAGCACTGGTTGTCAGGCTCTTTATTTTCATTTATATCTTGCTCTGGTTTGAATCAAAATTTCGCAAAACTGGTTTGAATCAATTTGGTCTAAATAGTTTCAGTGTAGTCATATTGGGAACTAAGCAATTTTCAAAATTTTAGCATCCTTAGTTTAATTTAAGCACATTAATTTTAGTGACAATCTTTGAAAGGTTTGAGTTGCTCTTTGGAATCTTATACACATGATTTCATTGTACACTTTTCAATGGCAGCAATAAAAATTATTTGGTTTATTGGCCATACTTCTCCCTCAACTTTTTCTTCACTAGAGCTTGTACTTTCTTTTAGACCAATGCTAATAAGCCATGATGGTTTCAGTTTTTTAATGTGTATTAAATTATTCAGGTATGTGTTGTAACAGAGTATGCTGAAGGAGAATTATTCCAAGTACTGGAAGATGATGGTTCTCTTCCAGAAGAACAGGTTTGTGATGAGTGTCGTTTCCCTTTGGTTCATTTTAATAAGATATTAAAGTCATTGGAATATTTTTTCTGATGTGCTGGTAGGACTTGGGATAAGTCATATGACTGTCAATGGGCTTTTGTTTTTGTTGCCTTCACCATTAATGATTTCTTCCCCTCCCACACACCCACTCCTGATGCCCATGGTTTCTTTCTTTTATTGAGTTTGCAGTAAAATGCTGGTAATAACAGTGATCCTGCCATATATGTAACTGCTAGAATCGATATTAATGTGTGATGATGCATAAACAACCATTTCCACACTCAAGTGCATGACTATGTGGTAATAAAACAAATGGGAAATGTTGTTGTTAGGTGCACCCTGGAATAAAAAACTAAGAGTGGTAGGAACTCATCTCAAAAAATGCAGCAATCGCATTGCTTTGAGTTACACCCAAAAAAGAAAAAATGGGTCCATCAGGTTGTATCAGTTAAATCAAAACTTGCACCAATCAGATTGCTTAGAGATACACCAAAAACAGACCACTCTTTATGCTTATATAGAGTCTTTTTAATTTTTTAAAAAAAATAACTCAAATATAATTGTTACTTTTAATAGTGGGGGTGGTGTTAATATAATTCCAAGTGATGAATGGCCGAAAAAAAGATAAAAGTGTTGAATGGCCAAAAAAAAAGAGGGGTGTGTTCCATATCTGGTAAATAACAGCATAACAAAGGGGTGAGCTTTAAACCCTTTACACCTGAACATCAGTATGCATATTCTCTATACTCTCTCTATACATTTCATTTGGTAATGACAAGGAGAATTTTTCTAACAATAAAAGCAATCTTAGGTTGGCAACCATTTCTTATATTCTCATGATCTTGATCAATGATTCAGCAGTGTTACTGTATGGAGAAGTTAGCTGCTGGTCTCTTATAGGGTTTGAAGGGCTTGAAGTGTGGGGTCTACCAAGCTTTGAGACTCAGTATGGTTCATTAGCCCATTTAAGGCCAGCCTGGGATGTCCAGTGCTAAATGCAAGATTTTGTTCAACACCCCAATTATATGAATTTCAACATCTATTCTTACTGGTTAATTTATGCAACATTGAACTGCTTTTTCACTTAAATGAATCAATCAAATCTTATGCTCTTTAAAAACTGAATGGTTTGAATTGAGAGTTTATAAAATAATTAAATGTTAGAAAATGTTGTTTTACCACAATTGGCAGTAATGCGGCAAACTGATTAACCAATTCAAATACCATTGTCAATCAGACTACAGACAATGCTGCACTTGTCAATGTATCAGGCATTGTGTCACGCACTGAAAGAATTGTTGTATTTGACATGGATATTGTGGTAAAAAACAAGTTGACAGTGGTGTAGCATGGCCTGTACTCATATTTGTGGTGGATTCACTTGGCTTTGCCTCATATGTCCACAACATTTTGACCACAGTGATGATATCGTTGTGGAAAAGAGTACAGACCATGCTTATAATCACCATTGATTTGTTAACTCTACCATGCCAAAGATAATTTTCATAATCCTTGAATTTTTTTTTCAGGTGAGAAAGATAGCATGTCAGCTAGTGAAGGCCTTGTACTATCTACACTCTCATAGGATTCTTCACAGGGATATGAAACCACAAAATATTCTTCTTGGAAAAGGTGGTGTGGTGAAACTTTGTGATTTTGGGTATGTTGACAAGAATTAACATTCTATGGGAAGCCAATTAACATGATCAGACATTCACTGAGTTTGTGCTCAAATATTTGAGGTGTTGCGGGATCAGAAGCTGCTTCTACCTCAAAACTTCTTTGTTCCAAATGCTGACTCTCCTAATTGATAAACATTCATTTGGCAGAACTAAACTGATATAATTGAACCAGGAGTATTGGAAATTTTCCTTTCAGTTTTCAACTTCAAAAACAACAATCATGACTTTAACTCCATTTTGCAACTTGTTGATAAATGTAATACAGATCTTACATACTTAGTCAGATTGTAAACATTATTTGGGTAGTGTTTTGAAAAGGAAAAAAAAAAACAATTTAAGCTTGTCAAGCCAAGTTTAAAAATTTTTTCCCACAGGGATCAACGAATGCTTTTCATTCCACAAATTTATTTGTGTTTTTCTCGTTGCCATGTTCCCACCAATAACNTAAATATACTATATTAACAATTATTCCACGAGCGCGCGTTGGATATGAGATGATAGATAGCCAACGAGGCGCGTAGCGCCGAGTTGGCTATAATCATCTCATATCCAACAAGCGCGAGTGGAATAATTGTTTTATTAAAAACGTTAAATTAAATTAAATTTTATTCAATTTTTAGCTCCCTTTTAATTTTAATCTGACACGTACGCTTGCCATATTTGTAGATTATGGTATATTGGCTGATATACCATAATGGCTAAGCCAATAAAATGTCTTGAATTGCATTATCCAATGATCTAGTTTTTAATAATATAAAATATACCGTTCATATATTTTGAAATATTAGTACTGGTATACCTCATTCAAAAACCCTGTAAAACTTTTCACCCCTCCATATTTTCTAGGTCAGTTGGATGTATTTTATATGAACTGTTTGTTGGAACACCACCATTTTATACCAACAGTATCTTTCAACTTGTGAACCTAATCTGCCGTGTAAGTGTCATAATGTTGATATTAAGTGATATGAAAGGTTTTTAAAGTAATTTTCTTCTCGATTCAAAGTCTTTATGTATTTTTATATGTACCCAGTCTAATGAGTAAATGTTTGAACTTTGATTAGGACACTGTTAAGTGGCCAGAGAATATGAGCCCTGATTTTCAGGTTGGTGAATTTGCTCAGTTATATATTAGATATTTTCTTTGAGTAGACAGCTTTTAAGGGTTTGTTAACCTATAGCTATGGATGGAGGAGCGTTAACCTATAGATATAGTTGGAGGTCATGGTGAACTGTAATACAGATTAAAATAAGTCACTGATACAATCTCTGACTGGAGTGCATTTACCTAGCTAGCCAGCCACCATATTGCATTTCATGTACATGTACCTTGTAGAGAATGCATAAAATAGCATTTTAGAGCCTCTACATTAAAAGAATGATATGGAGTGTGTCCTAAGAACCTGGCTGGAAGCTCTTGACTTGTTAGCTATCTACTTGATGTAGCTAGCCATCATGATCTACTCCCTGACTTACTGAGAATGCTGAGTCACATGGCCTACCACACCCAATCCCCTGCCTGCACACCTTTCTCTTCCAGTTACAATGCAAGCAAAAACAGTAACTTATAATAAGGAATGGTATTTCTTTATCCAAAAACTTAAAAGCATCCATTGCTATTTTAAAGTTGTTTTTTTCTTTTAATCAAACTTTCTCAATTTTTTTCAGAGTTTTCTCCAAGGCCTCCTCACTAAAGAACCCAACAAAAGGCTTTCATGGCCTTATTTACTCAGACATCCATTTGTAGCAGATGGAATAAATGGTTAGTTTAGGTGATGGTGTTTGGTTTTTGTCACCATATTTTTTAAAGCTGGGATTGCTTGTTCAAACAGTGATTTGCAGTCTTCATGATGATTAAAAAAATCTTTACCATTGCATCTGTATCAACTGTGTCAAAAATTTAGTTGCCTTGCAACTACTGCTGTCATGTTATGTAGTGTTGTCTTAGACTTTATGAGCCAATCTCAGAAAGTTTCATAGGAACATTTCTCATAAATTATTGGTGCCTTTGCAGATCAGCAAATGTAACCATTATACCACAACATTGTGCAAAACTGAGGCTGACTGTTAAGATAGTGACTTGTTTCTGAAAGTAAAAATTGACCATTTACTTTCAAATTGGTATTATTGTGACAGTCTGTTCCAAGATTCTGGTTGCTCTGGAAACCAAAACAGTTACATTGTACAGTGTGGCTTATGGTTTTTGAGGTAATCTCCCTCAGTTTCACTACAGCATTTCCTATAAAGTTGTTTGTGAAGGCCTGAGTCATGGTTTCCAGATAAAGAGATGTGTCTCCGATTCAATGAATATATGAAGTTCATATATTCATATATTCATAGGACATGAAATCAGATATGTCTCCGTAAGCAAATTTCTTGTAAGAACATTTTTGGATAATCCACATTTTTCTGTGTTTTGGTCTTTTGTCAGAAGCTGAACTGGAAAGATTCAGTACCTCAGAGATGTTTGAAAAGCTTGGAAATTCAGCAAGCAATGTCAGTAAAACTTTTAAGACTAAAGGAAAAACTCATGAAAGCAAGACAAAGGTTTGTGGGGTAAAACTTGTTTGTTTGCACAATTACATTTTAATGTTGTTTTAATAATTTTTTTCTGTAAAATAACCTAATATGCAGAAAGATGGTGGTACAGGAGAGGTGCGTCCATCATGGATAAGAAAGCTTCAACAGCAACAGGAAGGGACGCAACAAACTAAACAAAAAGGAAATGAGCCAAAACAAGACAACAAAGAGAAAGGGAGACAAGAATCAAAAAAGAAAGCTCAGAGCAACATACCAAAGAAGAAGAAGCCTCCTTTAGTGACGGAAACAGAAACAAAAATAGTGTCAAGTTCCAAAGAGTCTAAAGACAAGGAAAAAAGCACTGAAGAAAAAGCTGTTGATGGTGAGAACATTTTAGTCTTTGTTTTTTTTGTTTTTTTTGACTGATACTTGTCATAATGACTTTGTCCTAGAGATGCTATTGATCATCAAAAACTGATCTGCACCAATGGCAGATGATTTGCATAGTTTTTTTGTAATTATAGAGCATTTTCCTTGACTTCAAAAGGTGTGAAAAAAAGATCACCTAGCAACATAAAAGGATACCAAAAAACTTCTAATGGTAGATCACAAATTACAGAAATACTAAAGAGAATTTTTGAATTGCAATGAAAAACAAACGGGAAAGACAATTAATCACAGATTTGAACGTGTCTGTGTAGATGATTGGGAGGTGAAGCTGGATGACAGGCCTGTTACCACTGACAGAGTAGGACATGAAATCAGTGATGATTATGACAGAGAGGTATCAGTCATTGAACAAGTCTTAGCTGCGGCAGTGAAGAGACGGGAGGAAAAGAGCAAGACTGGCCATGGAGAACAGGTGAACCGTAAATTAAACCAAGTTTAACAACTGTATCGCTAAGTGGAGGTTGAGTGCCTGAAACATCCAGGAGCTTCCACTATTGGTAGCCAGCTCCTAGATGGAGACTTATTCCATGGCTGGTAAATCCTGGCAACCCAGCCTTGAGCCCCCCACACAGAAAAGGGAAAAGGGCACCCGTCACACTGGATGAATAGTGGAAAGAGGAAGGGAATGGGTGGGGAAAAACTACTTGGGAACGCTGCAAGTATACACTCAAAGCACACGCAAGAACGCCTCAAACGAAGAGCACATGAAATTCCGATGCATGCACATATGCAAAAATACTGCTGACTACTAGAGAACGCTGATGTCCTTTGTATTGTATTGTAATCTTTATTTAGACACGATCAATTCATCAGCCTATAAAAATACATATCACATATGCTAAGATATTTAAAATTAAAACTACATACTATAACACTAAAGCTGTTTTCCGTGAATGCCGTGCGTTAGACTTNNTTAGGGCCCCGATACCAGAGGCGATCTTTTTCGTTAGTTTTTCGATGTGACTATGCCAATCGAGTTGTTGACTCCATTAAATTGCATTTAAATATTTTTCTCACAAACTCACCTAACTCAAAATACCAGTAGTTAAAATTGTACTATAGAGTTGTTAGCATTATCACTTTTTTCTGGATGATATTAATAATGATTTTGTAAGGAGAAAAGTTTCATAAATCACTCCTGGGACTTAACCCTTTGATCCCCCAGAGTGACTAGCATCTAATTTCTCCTTACAATATCACCCCTGAATCAAACATTAAGGTCATGAGAGTAAAGGAAATGATCACCAACTAAAGAAGCTTTTGATTGTTAAACAAATTCTCCTTGTCAGCACCTTAGGAAATGTATAGAGAACAGTATGGAGAATATGCATACTGATGCAAGGGTGTAAAGGGTTAGGGGTTGAATATTTACTATTTTTTTTTCCTTTTAATTAGGAGGACCTTGATAGTGAAGAGGAATGGGACTACCTTGTGGAACTGACTGACAAGATTGGGACAAGCAGTTCTCAAAAAGACAGCAGTGAAGAAGATGATAAGATTCCCGAGAAACTTATGACTGACTCAGCTTTTATCGATAAAGTTCAGAGTTCATTAGAGACTGTGGCAGTTCAAGTCTTAGATGGCCTGCTGGAGGGAGCATCTCGTTTTCGACAAATTCTCAGAGTGTTAAGGAGTCTGTTGATAACTGCTTGGTAAGTGGCGCTTTCCTTTGTTTTCTTTCTTTCTTTCTCTTTAGTTAAGCAACCGCTAAACTATGTTTAATTAACCAGCCTGAAATATCTCTAAGTCAACTGACATTCTTTTAACAAGTTGTCTGTTTCACATTAAAAATTTCAGCACACCAGAAGTTAAGGTTAAATTTTCAAGCTCTGTTGGTATCCCTGAAGACAGTCTCATTCTCTTGGTACAGTTGCTTAGAAAATCTGGTCTTTCTCAGGTAAACATAAGATAATGTAATAATTATACACAATTATACACTTAAACACACTTAATGTTGTCAGGGTGTTATGAGGTTAGGGGGAAGAGTGGGAGGTTTTTTTTTTTTTTTTACCTCAGTTCATAAACCTACTATTAAAATCTTACTTTTTGCAACTTACACACATTATTTTACGAAAAGTAGGGGGTCCTAAAAGCGAGGCAGCCGTTTCTTTAGTTGTGGGTCGGCACTTAAAGGAAAACCTTGCTGTTCACAATTTATTTTCTTTATTCATGGATATTATCCCATAAAATTTGAAAGAAACTTCTTGTTTTGACTCATTGTAGCAACCTTGGGTAGTGCAGGTTATTGTGGATTTACTGAATTTGATGGCAGCTTACCTAAGGAGCTGCATTCTTTTGAGCAGTGACTCGCTGAAAGAAAGGTGAAGTAATTAGAGTTGACATTGTGTTTTTGCTCTTGGTATACTCATAACTTTATAAAATTAATGTAGATTAAGGGGAATAAGATTTAATGGAATACTATTCGGTCTGTTATCGTTGTCATTATTATCACATGGCCCATCCAGCCCCGCCCGCGCAATTCCGTAGAAAACCAAAGTGAAAGCTGACGTGAGCAGGGCCAGACAGTTTGACCTGAGCTGGCCCGGGAAAAGTCGCCCGTCCCTGCTGCCCTCACGTCGCTTTATGGCAGAAACTTAAAGGAGAACAAAAGTGGGGATAAATTTTTTGGTTTTCAAGGAGTTTTTTTGTGCTTGTGTGGTTGCGTGTGCCCTTCTATTGCGTCCTAGTCAGGTTGACAATTTTCGACACTTAGTGGTCATACGATAAAATGCTTATTGACTGAGTTTGGCCCGGCCGGACGGGAAAATATTTGGCTCTCGGTCGTGAAGCACTCTCCGCTCGGTCCATACGTCGTTACCGCGAGCCAAATATTTTCCCGTCCGGCCCTCCCAGTTAGTTAATGAGCACATAGTATCATCCTATTTAGTGGAAGTCCAAGTTATCAATCACGAGAATGATCAGGGGTGTAGCTAAGATTTTCAAAAAACTTCTTATGTGTAATCTAGATTGGTTTATACTGCTGCTCTAACTTTAGTGTCAGCAGGTTCATATTCACGAGGCGATAGACTTCCAAATATAGTAGTTACTGAGCCGATATGCTATGTTTTCCTTAATTTTAATGTTAATTCTGCGTGTTACAACCCTGTTCCCTTTAGTTCAGCCATTTTGAGCCATGGAAAGCAGCTTATGGGTGTTTTACCAACACTGACGCAGCATAGCCAGGACAAAGAACTCACGTTACGACAGGCGGCCTTAGAGGTGTGTTCCATATCATGTCCTAAATTATTGAAGTACAGTGGTGTTGGCTGCAAGGGAAAAGAAAGTGGTATTTCATGTATTCCAGGAGATTCTTGGCTCTCTATCCTTACCTTCGTGCACCGCCTCAAAAGTGAAAAATGTTTGTTTTACAATAAAATGATCCTCTGAGTAGATGGGATGGAGTATTTTTTTCAATAGAGTATAGAAAGAAATCGGAAATTGCATTGGTTTTACTTTACTTCGCCAATCTGATTCAAAGCTTAACATGTCTTCTCTCGTGTAAACAGTGTGTTCAGTATCTATGTGATGTGGTAGACAAGCATGATGATGCGGTACCTGAGGAGTTCTACGACAATCTTATTACCTGTGATATAAAGAGTGTTGATTGCCTCATTTCTGCACTTTATGTGGATCCAAGTGCCATACAAAGACTCAAAGGTACAATGTAGGGCTTAGCTCTATTGGAGCAATTTTCATTGAGAGTCGAAAGTAAGCGTCAGTTTTTTATCACTTCGCCACGTGATTGGTCTAGAAATCTTGCGCCAATCTCTTGACCAATCAGCTAATCGAGATTGGTCACCTGCATTTTCCCACCATGAGTAGTTTGCTTGTTTTTACTTTGAATTCTCGTTGGATTTTCATGATATTCTCCTTTTTCATAGCCTGCAGAGCAGGCGTTCAAGTAACGAAAATTAGACCCACCTCCTAATTTTTCGCCTCGCTCCATTTTTCGCGCGGTCTAATTTTCGTTACTTGAACGCCTGCTCTGCAGGTTACCTTTTTCTCTGATAGGCTGTTGTAATCACCATGGTTTTTGTTTTATTATTCAATCTAAAAGTGCCTATCAGGTTTCAGAGATACAGTGGACTAAATTTTTGTCCAGAGCGCATTCCGATCTGGTGCCGTTAAACTAAAACCTAAACAATCACAACGGCCAATCAGACGAAAGGAAAACATCACAAGGAGCCAGTAAGAATCAAAAGAAAAGCGTGGGAAAACGCGAGAGACCAAGTCGCGTTTGTTTTTCCTTGTGAATCTGATTGGTTGAGAGAATGGCGCGAGTTTTCTTGACCAATCACATAGCGTAGTTAACCAAAGCCAAATCTCTCCCGGATTTCTTTCGACACTCAAGTGAAAACGACTCTTTATAAGACTGGATCGCGAGGTTTTTTTTTTTTTTTTTCGTCTTGTTCGAGTCATTGTGTTATGTTCTTGCACGAGACACTTTACTATCTCTTTACACTTTTAAGACTACTCATTTTTTTCGAACTAGGTGCAGTTGGAGATTCTGCTGCTGTGAAGGCGACTGTAACGCGCCTCCAAATTGTTGCTTTAACGACGTTACTAGCCTTAGTGACTTAGTCAAAGAGTGCAAACGGCAAATCCAACGCAAAAAGAAACTTAGCCAGCTTTATAGCAAAGAAACTACTTCACTCGTCAAATGAAAACTGCATGGATCTTGTACATCAGTTTCTTCACCACAAAGCCTCATCTTTGTTAGTATTGGACTTTCTCGCGGAACTTTGCACGGTGTCGAGGGAATTCAGTCTGCTTCTTACGGGACAAACAAAATGGATAGTTTCATTAACAAAGTGTTTGACAAGTTGCAGTGGAAAGGAAGCTGATTGCGAAGAGACGTTTTCTGTATTACAAATTTTGTGCAGTATGGTAACAAATGCGGAGAATATACCTATCGAGTAAGTGTGACATGTTAGAGCAATTTACAAGTGAGGGTCAAAAGTAGTCCGGAATTGCTTTGTATTTTGCTTTACCTTCCTCTGAGATTGGTACAGAAAATCGCGCCACTTTCTCAACCAATCAGATGCAAAAATGAAACCAATCATGACTTCATCACCCGCTTTTTCCCGCGCTTACTTCATCACCCGCGTTTTCCCTCGCTTACTTCATTACCCGCGTTTTCCCGCGCTTACTTCATTACCCGCGTTTTCCCGCGCTTTAGGCAGTTTGGTCGGTTTTGTTTTGAGTTCATCATTGTATTTTCCTTTCTTCTGACTGACCATTGTGATTAATTTAGTTTTGGTTTTACGAAATTCATTCGAAAAGCGCTTATTGCGGGTTAAAAGTAATCTGGTTTTTACTGCTTTACTTCGCTCTGTAATCTGACTCGTTTAATGACGCATCAACTTTATTTATTGCTGCAGGATTTACGATTGCACAGACCATATTGTCTCCATTTTCACCGAGTCAAGTGTTTTTATGATCGAAGCTCTATCGGCTTTGTTGCTTGCTAGACTTACCAGTTCAGATCCCAAAGTACAGCTTGATCAGAGTGAACAGCTTCTAGACACCATCGCTACAGCATTAGCAGAAATTCCACAGGTTAGAGGTCAACAGTTTCACTAGTAACTTGCTAAATTCCTCTTAGCTTCAATTTGCTCGCATTCTTCTTTAAATGCGATTGAGTCAGTAGTAGTGAATGGAGGCCCTATAGTACACAGTCAATCAGAGAAGAAGAGTACGTACCACGTGGTACAAATGAAGCAATCATAAGGTTAGCGTGACAGCGTGTCACCTTGCGCGTCACAAGGTGAGCCTTGCGCGTGATAGCGTCGCACTTGCGTGCTAGTGAGATTTCGTTACATTAAATCGACATTGGATGTTAATCCGCACATATTATTGGTTCATTTGTATCACATGGTTCATGATCCTCTTCCTTGATTGGCTTTTACCAAAGTATCACCCACAGTTTCAGTCAAACGTCTGACACACTAAACCAAAGTTTTCCTTTAGAATCCACAGATGTTGGGTAGAGTCAATGGTGGTCTTCTCGATGGCTTCACACAACTGCTGGAATATTGCCTCACACAGGTATTTAGACGTTTTCTCAGTGTCTTCTTACGTTGTCAGTTGTAACTGTGTGTACTTCAAAAATGTATCTAGAATTTAACTGTGAACATATATACCGTGGTTTAAAGTCTCTTCTGTCCCTCTCAACCAATCAGATGCTGGTCCAAATCCGATCACGATTTGGTTGCTCACGTTTCCCGCTTCTCAAGAAGTGCGGCCAATGGGCTGCTATTGGTGTTTGTTGTTGGTCACGCACTCGATGTTCCCCCTTATTTTTATGCTCGACAGTTAAATAAAATTTTCAAACCAGTAAAGCAATCCTTTTGCCAGTTCAGTTGCAAGAATTCGAAGCGAATTTAGAGGTACCACGGGCGGTAATCTTTTACTGGTTACCGCTAGTTAACTTGCATAAATTCCAAGCGATTTTAGAGGTACCACAGGCGGTAAATTTTACTGGTTACCGCTAGTTAACTTGCATAAATTCCAAGCGATTTTAGAGGTACCACAGGCGGTAAATTTTACTGGTTACCGCTAGTTAACTTGCATAAATTCCAAGCGATTTTAGAGGTACCACAGGCGGTAA